TATTTTAAAAATAAACCTGGCTTAGCGGTATGAAGGTTGACACTGAAGTATAACACTTTAGCGCGCCATGAATATATTGGTGTTCACATTTCATTCGATATGCTCAGCGCTATGAACGTATAAATTGAACTTTAGGACCACATTTCTCGTATCTGCTCGGCTAGAGCAGTGGCAAGAGGCAAGCCCCTCCACCAAGCGGGTCACCGTTTAAATCCTAGGTCTGCATCTTCTTTTCTATTATATTACAAAATGTTAAGTGTGACTAAATTTATTACATATATTATTGGTGAAAATATTTTTATATTAATAAATTTTATATGAAATAATATCGACTACATAACTATATTATTATTTTTTAACTCCTAAAATATGTGCAGTTTGTGATTAAAATTTTAATATTCTTTATTACCCCATGCAATGCACGGGTTAACGTCTGTTGATATCAAAAATTGACAGCCGATGGTTTTTATTCGGTTATTTTATTTGGATGAAGTCTTGCCGAATGTTTTTATTCTTCTACTTAATTGAATTCGGTTGTTCAATGGTTAACCAGGTTATTATCAGAGAATATATGGGCAAGTGCTCCTGAATGTGATGCATGCATATATGGTTTCTTACTTTGCCTCCTGGCTCCTGGCGTAGCAGCAGTACATGCAGAGATTGGTTTCTTCAGGATTTTCTATGGAAGTTAAAACTTGAGAACAAAATTGATATGCTGTGATGCTGGATAGAAGATCACATGATCAAGTTGGCAGCATAGAAGTGACGTGCAGAGGCAAGGAAGTTGGAGGCGCTGTGCATATGCAACGTTTCATTTTCATTGTTTTGGTTACTGATGTGTGATCTCTAATCTAATTAGTGTGGGACCAAGACAAAGACCAGGGACCCTATATAAGGGTTGAGGCCGATTGGAAAGGAAAACACAGAATTAATCAACACCTAATTTTTATCGTATTTCCTTTTATGCTGTTTTCCTTCTCTTCGTTTTGCTGCTTCCGATCTACTGCAGTCAGCTGTCATCGTCATCCCTCCGGCCGGCTGGTGGTGACGCTGCGTGCCTGAATCGGAGCAGCTGCTCCTGCGTGTGCATCTACACAGCGGCGTTGCCGCATGAGTTAGGGGGTGTTTAGTTCACGTTAAAATTAGAAGTTTAATTGAAATTAGAACGACGTAACGGAAAAGTTAAAAGTTTATGTCTGTAGGAAAGTTTTGATGTGATGAAAAAGTTAGAAGTTTGAAGAAAAAGTTGGGAACTAAACCAGACCTTAGACGCAGCAGCAGATGAATTTTTGTGTTGCTTTCTCGGGATAAATTTTGGTGGTGCAACATCTAATTCATAAAATAGTTATCTATAAATATATACTATGATTCCACCTATCATACATACATTGTATCCTGGAGTCGTGCTGCAGCTAGCTATAAATTTATAGCCCACTATACTTCTCTCTACTCTTTTATTTTCGCGATATGTGTTTATAGATAGAGCGCTGCTACAAAACGGGAGCCCGTTGCAACGGGATAAACATATTAACTATTTTCTTGCACGAATATCACAGGTATAAGGTCCTAATTATCATAGGTACCAGATAATATGTATCACATGTATCGAGTACCATGCAGCTGATAAGATAATAGGTAGCAAGTAGTATGTACGTCTCATAGAGGGTATCCTATTCCAACGGTCGTCGGAATACCGTTGTCTAGTTTTCTCTTATAAATAGCTTATGGTCCGCTATTGTACCTGTTTGCCACTAGCAGCGAGGCAGGTACCCGCCGCCGGAGTGGGCGAGGCGGCGAGCCACCAGTCCACCTCCACCTCCACCATTCGGACCGATCTCGCCGCCTGCTGGACGCGACGGCGGCGGCGCCCGCGCGATGTCTCCCACTCCGCGTCCTCGCTTCCTGGCCGCGTCCGTTTTCTTTCGTCTCTGGTTTTGCAGCCGCCGGCCTGGGCGGCCTCCGCCACCCATGACGGGCTCGCCTGGAAGGTGTTCGACGAAATGCGCGCGAGTCACCACGGGCTGTTGCCTGTTTGGCGTTCTGGGATGGGAAGCCAGGCGCTTCGTTTACTATCTGGTTTGCCTAAGCTCTGGCAGCGAGGAAAGCCGTGGGCATTCCCATGTCGAATTCGCAGGCTAGCTGTATACTAATGCTCCGTGCTAGCGTCGTCCTCACCGTGCCGGGTTGTGGTGCCGTTGAGCCAACTGATGGTGAGGCAGAAATTGGAATTCTTTGCGGCTTCGTGAACGAACTATTATCGGGATGTTCTCTGTCAACAATTTTTGATGTTTTCAGGAGCAGTGGCCAGTGGCGTAAACCTGATCCTTTGGGTCATGGGAGCTGATCAAAATGCAGATCCGTTGAACAATATTTTCGACCAATCTCTAAACATGTAAGTTTACATTTTCCCATCAAATATGTAAGTTCGTATATGTGCATATTCCTAAATTTGTATGTCCGTATATGCGCATATTCCTAGATTATGCTCTTAGCTTTTCATGAAGATTTTGTATCTTGATGAAGTTGCAGTGCGCAGAAAAACAAAAATTGAAAATAATTTATGCAAAACACAAATTATTTGCTGTGGCCAGTAATCTGGATTGAGGTGGAAGACGCCAGACCAGACATCATGGTTGTAGGCTTCTTACCAAGTCATTAGGACACTTGAAATTTAGTGGGCGGACCCAGTCAACACAGGGTAGGCTTCTTCCTTTTTTGTTATTTTAAGGAAAATAGCATTGCTGCTGTTTTTTTCCAAGACTCCTGCTATTGTTGTCTAAGAGAAGGATGGCAGAGCTGTCAGAGGAAAAATATGAGGTTTGAAAGATATATAATTTAAGGTGAATTTTACCTCAAAGTGAATTTTAGCAAATTAAACCCAACAATGTTTTCACTATATGTAGTAGTGATTGCTAATGGTTTTTCAGCAGCATATTGAAATCATCACCAAAAATCCAACATATTTATTGGTAGGAGCCAGGGGGTGTACCCAAGCTCCTCAGTTAATAGTGGTGCTCAACAGGATGGTGAGATCTGTAGCATCACCTCCCTTGAGCCGTGATGAACAGAGAATGAGATGGAGGGTCTGCGAGATTAACTTCTTGCTTATTGATTCCAACATCTCCCTTAATACAGAAGAGAGGCCCAACACTTAACAAACTCTTAACAAGAATGTCTAATCCTTAACAAACTCTCCTAATCCCGTTGAATGAAAAACTAATCCTGGGCTAACCAAAACGGAAGACATGGGGTCAGTTGGATAGCGCACGTAGGACCGTCTCCACATAATTTTAAATCATTTATTGTCCAAAATGTATATTCTTTTGGTGCTCTCTTAAACACACTTCTCCAAGAATAAATAGGATAGAATGCAAAAAAAGTTATAAAAGGCAAAGTACATGAATCAGATTTTCTTCTGCTCAATAGTCAGTAATCATCCATTTCATCCAGCGGTGGAGCCAGAAAGATTTTTAAGCCCTGGCAAATTTCAATATAACTAGCATTTGCTATAGAAATTTCATAATCAATTTACTCATCAATATTAAAATTTAATGGAGTTTTCGCCAGTGAGCCCGGGCGGCTACCCAGGCTAGGCTGGTGGTGGCTCCGCCACTGATTTCATCTTGGACTAGATAATATTGATGCCCGAGGTGGGGCTGAATATGTGGATGGAATGCCTTGAACAGATATTACTGAATTTGCATTGAAAAAGCTGTAATCTAGGCAATTTTCCACCCTCATTGCACCCTCCAATACCTTGACAACCATTGACATAGAAGGCCTTCGGTCACTATCATTTTGCAAGCACCACATTGCAAGCTTCATCATTTGAATCACTTCCTCCTGGTGTGAGACCATGTCATTACTGTGCTTGTCAATCATATCAATCAACTGACTGTTCTGAGCCTTTTCTCGTAATAAATTGATCAGCTGAACAGCTTCCTCTGGCTGAGAGATATCAATATTTTTTCTTCCACTAATTATTTCCATAAGAACAACGCCAAACTGTAGACATCAACTTTTTCAGTGATTTGCGATGTTAACCATTCAGGTGCCAGATATCCAGGTGTGCCTCTCATCACAGTCATCACCTTGCTTTGATCTCTATCTATTAGCTTAGAAAGTCCAAAATCTGCCAATTTCGCATTGAAGTTATCATCTAATAGAATATTCTGTGGTTTGATATCCAAATGAGCAATTTTTCGCCTGCATTCCTCATGAAGATAACATAAACCCTTGGCAATATCGAGAATTATCCTACACCTCGTGCTCCAATCAAGAGGCGCATTGTTATGGTGATAATATATCCACCTATCAAGTGATCCTCTTGACATATATTCATATACTAGAAGCCTATTTGACTTCTCTACACAAACTCCGATCAGTCTGACAAGATTGATGTGCTCAATGCTGCCAATAGTCTCGACCTCTGCCAAGAATTCTTTCTTTCCTTGTCTAGCACTTTCCAGCCGTTTAACTGCAACTTTCTCTTCGCTAATTTTCCCTTCATAGACCGATCCAAACCCACCTTCACCTAGCTTTTTACTGAAGTCTTCAGTGCTTTTTCTCAGTTTTTGAAATGAGAATCTCGTTGGCATTCCAGGCATTATATCAAAATCTAATTCTTCATCTCTTTCTCGATACTTCCTCCTCTTTTGGACATAAATAGCAACAACAACAACCAAAATAAGAGCACCAATTGCTGCGAGTATGGAAACTAAAATTGTCTTTGTTTGTAACTTTTGTTTTGTGTAGGGGCAGAAGAAGAGGGAGTAAGTTGCACTTTGAGGTAAGCAGTAGAGTTGTAAGTAGCAGTTTGAGGTTGTATTGTTTTCAAGGAGAATACCTCTGTCAATGAATGGCATGTTCCATGTGAATCATTGTGGAAATACATGAACATTACAGCCCTGCAGGAGCAATTCTTCAAGCATGCTTGCTTGCAATCATCTTTGTTTGTTGGATTCGCAATGGGTTGGCTAACATCAAAGTAAGAAACGTCACTAAGAGTCAAGAGATGATGGTTTTGCATTTCTTGACAAGATATTGGAGTCACTGGTACACATCCAAGATTCAGCTTCCACTCATCAACTGGCTGGAAGTAGCTTGAGCTAGAATTACTCTCAGGGGGACAGATACATTGCCCGCCTGTGCATATTCCGTACTCCCCGCACACTTTTGGGAAATCACAATCATCAAGGGATAGCTTGGTTACATCAGACACGACGGTCCACTTCTCTTCACTAGACCACTCGTACAACCTCAAGTGCCCGTCAGGCTCTAACCTTATGTACTGGATGGACTTAGCTTCTGGCAATGCGATACGGCCATCTGGATTTCCTGGTTGTGTGGACTGCACAAAGATGCTGAAGCAGCCATTTGTGAAGGTAACCGTTGTTGGAACTCTCTTGCTCTTGTTTGTGCTCACTACATAGTTATAGTAGAGTTGTGGTGGTGTGGATTCAACATAGCCATATACACCATCTTGGAGAATAGTTATATATATCTTACTCTCAGTCCAATTTGTGGGGGAGGTATTTGCTTTGAGGATCATGCCCTGCAGCAGTGACTGCCCTGGGACCAATGCGTCTGTTGGATGATCAAATGACTGCCACACTGTTCCATTCCTCTGATCAAACAGCACCAGGTTGCCATTCTCAGTGATCTCCATGCCTTGCACGGATCGGCCTGAAGTGCCGCTCGACCAGACGAGTCTGCCATTGGCTTTTTCACGGAGGACGAGGTCACCATCTCCAGTCAGCTCAAGGGTAGCATCCTCTCCTAGGGGGCTTCCCCTGTTGGCACACCAGATAACCTCGTTTACCGCTACAGGGAACAAAGCACCGCTGCTGGTGAAGACAATGAAGACAGCGAAGATGAATTCTCGGCAGGGTGGGGTGCAGAAGAACCCTGCGGCAAAGGAGGGGCCATAAAAGGTTTGTGGTGACAAGAGGAGTATGCTGCGTACCATAGACCCGTCGTCATATGTGATGCTGTCAGGGAGCCTGTTTCTATTGTTGACCCACAGTGTCGAGAGGTTGGCCATGGGATAGTCGGAGCGCTGCCTGGGGAGCGTCCCTGCTGCAACTGCAAGAACCATGACCACCAGCACCGTGAAGCCGGCAAAGAGATTGGCAGGATGCATATGGTTCTTAGATGGAAAAGAGAGGAGAGAAGCCAGCAAGAAACTGTGGTCAGTTCAGAGGTTAGCAAGGTGTGTCCTGACCTTGTGATCAGACTGAATCGATGAGCTGATGTGGTCACCGGAAAGATGATCTCTGGACTAGCTTCCAATTGGTCGACTGGCTTTCTCGTCAATGCATGTCAAAACTTCAAGGCTATACCACGCGGTGCTCTGGTTTTGGTTTTGGAAGCATGGATTGGTTTCTCCAATCGCCAGTTCTAAAGGTTCAAGAATTGGCCGTGCCGCATTACCTTGTAAAGTTGCTTGGCCAGTGACCACCACCATGGAGTCAGCGTAATTACTGTCTGTTGTTTTATTGTTAAGAAAAAGGGCAGGAGCTGATAGCATCGCCCTTAACAATTTCATCATCCAAGCCTTGTCAGAGAATATATTGGTATGGTAAGAAGAAATTTTGGTAATCGAGTATACCATCATCTTTTATGCTATTTTCGTTTGGAGAGCATACCAGCAGACAGACTAATACTCCTTTCTTCCCTAAATGTTTGACGCCGTTGACTTTTTAAAATATGTTTGACCGTTCGTCTTATTCAAAAACTTTGTGAAATGTGCAAAACTATATGTATACATAAAAATATATTTAACAATAAATCAAATGATTGAAAAAGAATTAATAATTACTTAAATTTTTTGAATAAGACGAACGGTCAAATATTTTTAAAAAAGTCAACAGCGTTAAACATTTTGGTATGGAGGGAGCATCAGGTAAGACCGGTAAGAAAACACGTGAATCATACTGTTCTATTTGAAATTTACACGTTCCAGACGGCCATGGAACGATTGAATCAGGAAGAAATTATATGATCTGCTATAAACAAGCGCTTGGTTGTTATTGGCGAGCACAAGTTCTACATACATACAATATGTTTTTCTTCCCTTTGTTTAATTACCATCAGTTAACCTCCGTTGGTTATTTGATTTTTTTCATAATGCCTAAGACACCCTTGAGAGGTTTGCAATATCTTCTGATATTTTACTGTCAGTTGCATAAATGCAATTAAATCTATTATCTATTGTTATTTCACTGTCAGTGAGAATTCCATGAAGAGCTAGTCACATGTCTCAGCGGCGGGTCTTTTTTTTACTCCCTTCGTTCTAAATTACAGTACGCATCATTATTTAGAAAAATCAAACACAGTACTAGTTGTGGTGGGGGGCTTCGACGCCTCGTCGTGTTGGGGGCGGCGTGGCAAGGAGATCGAGTTTGGCCGTTTTGGTGGAAAAATCCGGCAATTTTGACTATGTTGGGTTTGAGCCGCCGGGGGACGACGTGGTGGTGAGTGGTGAGTGCACGACTGACTAATCGTGGATGCTAGTCAAGGCTCGTCGCGCTCTCGCTTGTGGCCGTCGCAGTGGCACGCAGTGAGTGAGTGAGTGCCTGAGTGGAGTGCTTCGTCGGGTTTGGTTTTGTTCTGTTGCGTGCTTACATGTTGTCGTGTTGTCCGGGGTTTGAAATAACCGGACAACTTTGCTGTTTGCTTGTATCTGTAATATCCTGTGTTTTCTGTACCTGATACTGTACTTTCGACTGGGGGAAATTAAAACGGAGCCCTCAAAGTCAGACTTCTCTTTTCTGAGATGGGCTGAAACTTTCTTTTAAGAAAAAACTGTAACAGAAGCGAAAGTGATGATATATCTATTTTGTAGAGTAAAAGCATCTTGCTATATATCGAAGCTTACCGCGTTTAGTTCGGAAAATGCTGCGCGCCTGACGTCCGACGTCAGAGAAAAAGCACCTCCTGCAGCTCTAGTTTTAAAACGATTTTTCTATTAAACTAATTATCTAATCTGCGATCTAATCACACCGTTATATTCATTGCAATTAAATCTTTACAACAAGACCACACATGATTATATTTCGACAAAAAATATTTTAGCTTCTCTATTGATATTTTTTTGAATGTTGCATATGATCTCTTTTGATGTTTTAACCAGTAGTTTTACGATGTTTCAGCTAATGTACTTGCGATGTTTTAATATATACGGATCAAATGTTGTATTGGATTTTAATATTATGGAACGCGCCGTTGCAACAAATCACCCACATATTTTGGAAACCCCCTATTAAGGGAATTTGGTTTATTTTTTGTTCCACAAAAAATGTTTCATCTAGTGTACTCACAATCTTTCACTGTGTACAGATCTAATGTTGCAGTGAACTGAAATATTCCATTGCAATAAAAAAACCCACATATTTTGGAAACCCCCTATCAAGGGAATTCGTTTCATTTTTTGTTCCGCCGAAAAAGTTTCACCTAGTGTAGTTATAATGTTTCACTGTATATGGATCAAATGTTGCAGTAAACTAAAACATTCTTTCGCTATTTGCTGAAACATTATTTTTATATAAGGTGAAATAACACCCGATTTAAACGAGTGAAACATTTTCGATCTATTTAGTGAAACAATTCCGATATACCTGGTGGAACATCATGCAACATTTAAAAATAATTCAATAATAAGCTTAAAAAAATTTCGTCGGAATATATCCATGCGTGGTCTTGTTTTAAAGATTTAATTGCAACGAATTTAATGGTGCAATCAAATCATGATTTGGATATGTAATTTAAGAGAAAAATCAGTTTAAAGTAGTTTTTGCACGTAAATCGGACGCTGACGTCATGCTGACGTTATGCTGATGTCAGCGTCCGATTTTTTCCCAAACATCATACGTCCGAGCCAGAGTTCCCTCCATTTAGTTCGTTTGCAAAATTGTAACCTGATACAATGACTGGTTTTGTTACTTTAATTTGCAAACCGGTGCCATAAAGAGTACAGGCAAAAAAAAATACAGTTGAATAGTCAGTCTTTTGTGTTCAACTTTTCATCGGCAAGCGTTTTCATTCGGTGCCATAAAGTTTACTGTTCAATGTATATACGCGGAAAGTCCACATTTTACATGTTGTTTTCTAATGATTGTATTCACAAGTTTTGTATTTTTCTGGTTTCTCGATCGTCATTCGACCCTATGTGATGGATGGGTATTGCATTTGCGCTTTGGATGTTCCGCCTTTAATCGAAGCCTTACTTGTTGCTCTCCCCGTGTGTTGGATTGGAGTTCCTTCATGTTTTCCTTTTCGTCTATAAATGTTCATAAGTTCTTTCATATATTTATCAAATTAAATAACTGGCTTTTTATAAAGCACTTCAAAATATGTTAGTTTTCCAACTGCGATTTATGATCTAACTGTCATTACGAGATGTGTCCAATCTTATCAATAACAAGGTCATATAATACTTTTATCAATATCACCTAATCATTGTTCCTTAAAAAAAAGAATATCATCTAACCATTGTTCCTTAAAAAAAGAATATCATCTAATCATTTTGCTGATGTGGATAATAGCAAAGAAATGATAAAAAGGAGTTGACTTCTCACAAATATACTCCCTCCGTATTTCAATGTATGACGCCGTTGACTTTTTAACCAACGTTTGTCTATTCGTCTTATTTAAATTTTTTATGCAAATATAAAAATACTTATGTCATACTTAAAGATCATTTGATGATAAATCAAGTCACAATAAAATAAATGATATTACATAATTTTTTTCAATAAGATGAAAGGTCAAATGTTTGTTAAAAAGTCAACGGCGTCATACATTAAAATACGGAGGAAGTATCTCTCAGACACAAGGCGTGAGGCTGTGAGCAAGCAAAGGTTGAAACTAGAGCCAAAAATCGGCCGCCCCTCCCCACATTGCGTCTCCATCACCACGCGCAGCCTATGTTACATGCACACTGTAATTAGTCCATCTCTTGCATCTCTCGCATCTCGTGTACTGTAAAAGTCTTATCATCCACGGTATTGATATGGTGGTAGTCTTTTTTAGCGAATTTCAAATATTTTTTCCTCCTAAATTACTTATTCATTATGTGATCCAATTGCACTGTTGTTTTTGCACTTATTCAACCATTAGAATTTGATGTTTACGTATGAGAAACAAATGTTTCATCGGGAATCTAACTCTGTTACACATGCTATATTTTTAATTTTTTTTTTGAATTTTCTTGATGGTTTAGTCGTTCTTACTAAATTATTCAATGTTCTAGTTGATTCACAAGTGTATCCGCACCGACGCGTCGGGCGCAGGTTGGAAGGGGAAAAAAATCAAAAGTCTTGCTCTTCTTTTCTAGGTACAAAATTCGCTCGTGCGTGAGCTACGAGGATGACTGGCATATACTCCCTCCGTCTTATAAAAAATCCATCCCTAGTATTCCAAGATAGAAATAGTGGAGAGTGAGAATGACTAAAATACCCTTAATTATTAAAAAAAGGTAGTGAGAGTAATATGTAGGTAAAGGATATTGAAGAGATAAAGCTTCTCGTTTTACGTGATGAGGGTAGGTAGAATGATATAAGTTGATTTTTTTATAAAATTTAAACTCTAGGAGTTGAGTTTTTTTATGGAGGGAGTAGCAACTACTGCTTGTTTTTTTTCACAAAGTCATACACCTAGCTAATACAAACAAAACGGTATAGGTACATATGTATACATGTTTATGTACACGATAGACTAACAACAACTTTTAGTTGGTCGCTTATTTGACCGTATGCCTACACTACCAACATTTCCTATATCGCAGGGTGTAAAAAAAAACGAGTTACTGAAAATTTTAGTTATTAACAAGCAATGCAACAACAATAAATATATAATAGAATAGAACATAACTTATAGCAACATGAAACATCGCAAATATACTTGATGAAACATGCAAGAAAAACCACGTGCAACTTTTGTAAATAAACTAGTGAAACATTAAAAAAATACTTATTCAAATATCCAAATGATATCATGTGCAACACTAAAAAAGATCCACCGCAACATGAGTAACTTAAAACGTGCAACAAAATCCAATTCTAATTGAAACATCCACTTCCCTCACATAAAACGTTAAAATTCACCGGTTAAAACAGGTATTTTTTATCACCTAAATCATGT